CAATTAAGCAAAAGAAATTGCATTTGCACGCTCTTCACTAGGGGAACTTGAAGATAAGTTTGTTGGTGGAAAAACCATAGAAGGCGTCAAAGTCTCAAACCTCAACACTTGCAATAATTTTCAACCAAGGGCATAACAATAATAAATATCCTTGTTATGTGGGTTAGCACATCTCATTGCACTCCAATCTCCAATATTATGTAAAGCATATAAACATCATGATTTAAAATAAAAATTTCTATGTGACAGATTCACAAAATCCCCTAAAACTCCTAGCATATCCCACAAACACTCCAATATCATATAAAACATATAAAAATCAATCAATAAATAAACAACCATAAGTCGGATTCTTGTAACCCGCTAAAACTCCTGCACATTCCAAATATTAAAAAAGATGGACAAAAATTAAACAGATAAAACTAATAAATAAACAATGGGCTTTTTCTGTGCCTGAAACAGAATAGCTACCACCTTATTATGGTTATAAATGAAGGGTGCAAGGAAAAGCCATTTGACAAGCGAAATCCTCTAGAATTTAGACGATCCAGAGTAAGAATACTATCAACAGCAACCAGCATAGGGCTTTTTTCTTTTTGTTTGGTAGAGAGACTACAGGAGAAATCTCTTCTTCTTCACCAAGTTAAAGTTAGCTAAATTTTGGGTAATGCTAGGTTATTTGTCTTTTCTGGTTGCAGCTTGGCCATCCAAAGCATTCATCGGAAGAGGAATGAGGTTATGGCAGATGATTTCCTTGGGCTACAAGCTCTATCAAATACTTCCATTGAATTATACAGGGAAATGCATATTGAAAACAAGGAGAATTCCTTTAGAATGTAAGCATTCACAGAAATCAATGAGAGGGAGATCCGAGAGGGGGTGAGAGAGAGAGTATGTGTGTGCAGGGGCAAAGCTAGGAATTTTTATTGAGGGGGGCCAAAAACTATGAAACATGGGTAAAGGGGCTAAAATATAAGTGAAACTTAAATAGATTTTATGAAAATTTTGAAGGTATTGGGAGGGGCCATGGCTCCATGGCTCCGCCCCTGTGTGTGTGTGAGTGAGAGGGAGAACTGAGAGGGGGTGAAAGAGAGAGAGAGAGAGAGAGAGAATGAGTGAGTAAGATTACCGGATGTTCAGCGGAGAAGCAGTGGCACCGGCGAGAGAACTAACAGAGTAGACAAAGAACGGAGCAAAGAGACATGCGAGACAGCCAGGGTAGAGTGAGAGGAGTTTACCTCAATGATAAAACCGATGAGTTTTACATCAGTAATTTCAATGGTTTTTCCACTGATTTTTAGTATAAAATTACATTGATTTTCGGTGTAAAATTATGTGCCTATCAAACGTATATAAAATCGAACCGGGGTATAAAGTTTACGCTGATTCGATTTTCCACAGCCTTAATTGTTTTTTTTCTGTTTATGGTTAAACTTTACTGTTATTCTGTTAATATGAAATGGACCACTCTTTCACGTGGGAATATGAATGGGATGGTGAATATATGAGAAAATACCATAATAGCGTAGGAACCAAAGTGAACTCATGCCAAATTGCCAGCTGGCCCAACAGATTAGGACTCACATATCGGACAGCATACCAAATAAAGGCATGAGAAAGGAGACAAATCTTCCGTTGTCTAGTTATTAGTTGAAAGGTATTTCTGTTTCTCGAAAAGAAAACAAATACTTAAGGGAATCGGAAAGAAATGTAATTAATTAAACTATAGCGATTGAAATGAAATGAAACCATGGCTATAGTGGGAATTAAGTAATTAAGTTTGTATATGTATTGTGAAACACACATGTGGCATGTAGTTGCAGTTGCATTGGTATGAGCATGTAAATAATTTGACACGTCTGTTAGAGACATGAATGTGTAGGATTCATGCATGCACGAGACATTAATTGAAATGGATAAGAGAAATGCATTATGATGTCTTTATAATTTTATCCTTATCGCATGCATGTTTTCCACTTGGAAATTGGAAAAGGGAGGGAGGTCATACCAATGCCGCAGCCCGCAGTTATTCTCGCAGGTAGCCTTCACTATATCAATGTGCACTTTTTTTTTCTTTATTAATATTCTTTTTTCCCTTTTATCTTATTTTAGCTAGGGAATCCCACCTTATGCAATTATCCTTATAACTAATATTAGCCACTTATATTCTTAATTTCAATTCAAATTTAGCTTGAATCCTAAATTCAAAAATCTAAACCCTAAATCATTAAACTCTAAAAATCCTAACCCTAAACCTTAAACCGTCTAAACTCTTAAACCTTAAAACCTAAACCATTAAACCCTTAAGTCATAAATCCTAAAATCTAAAATTTAAACCCTTATACCTTAAAATCTAAATCTTTAAATCCTAATTTTGAAGTTATTGTCAAGGTTTTTGAACCGCCATTGACCCGAACGGTTAGATCGTTCAGCCCGAGAACCGTTTGGATAATTGGTTCCCTTTAACCCCAAACCTTGTATTTGGCCAAAACCATTGAAAAAGTCAACAATTTATTGACCCAGGAGATCGACCCATTGACCCATTCAACGGGTTTTGACCATTTTTTATTTTTTATATTTTTTAAATTTGTTTATTAGAACAGATTGTCTGTTCAAAACGGACAATCAAACCATCAACCCAGAAACTAGTGGTCAAAACCGTTTCGTTTTCGAATCATTTTTTTAAAAACGTTGGTTATTGTATAAAATGACTTCGGCGCATGTCCTCCAATGGGTTAAGAGCCAAATATTTACTTACTATGGGTAATTAATTACTATTTTAAGCAATTTCTTTAAGGTAAAAAAAAAAAAAAAAAAGGAAATTAGAAACTCCTTTGAACTTCAAACCTGAAAGATTCCTTCATAATTTAAGGAATCTCATTAAAAGACCTGACTGGCAATAATCCTTCTCTGGAACCTGCTTCTCATTATCTCTTCATCAAATCAATTAAAGTACTTTAAAAAAATTGTTTCGTGTATCTTGTTGAAAGAGAATGTAGACCCCATTGTGATTGCAAGGAAAGAAAGAAAATGAAAATTTTATGAAGATTACATGCAAGTATGGAGGTCAGACACTTGTCCTATACGAGGATTAACATCTACCACACCGAATGAGTTCCACCTGAAAATCAGAAACTTTGTACCACACCATAGTTTTTTGGGCTTTTGAAATAAACTATTGTTTCTTCACTCTCCCATTAAAGTTCAGTAAAATACAATTTCTAGATATTGCCCCTGCCATTCTCTCCTGAAACGATCAGTTATATCCTACATGTAATAAATTTGAAAGAGGAAAGAAAAAGAGGATAAAAAAACAAATTAATCTACTCCAAGATAGAAGACATATTGGGATTCTCTCAATATTAGTCATTTACAATTCAAAGCAGGAATCTGATCAAATTGGTCATGTTTGAGCTAGGATGCCAAATTAGTATTATAAACACCAGTTAGAGAGGCCCTGCAAATAAAATTGCTATTGACTAGTACAATTTAAAAAGTGTAATCCCCACGACCTGTTAATGGATCAGGTCTGGCTCAGGATAGGGTGTCTCAATCCTGTTTCGATTATTGATTATGTTCGAATCAAAATTAATAAGACATATTGAATTGGACCATTTTAGATTTAATAGTTCAAATCAATTTGAATGGATTAGATAAATTAATAAGACATATTGAATTAGACCATTTTACACTTAATAGTCCAAAGTATTTGTTATTGGATTGGATTGGACCTGATCCATTTATAATACATGCATTTATATTGAACTGGGTGGATTGAACCAATATCCAATCCGTTAATATAAGATAAGAGTATGGGTGTCAATGAACCAGGTTTGGATCGGATCCAATCTAAATTAAAATCAATTTGAACATTTTGGATAGCCCATACATTGAATTAGACCAGTCTAGAATGTACTAAATTATTTATCAGACTGTATTAGACCTGGTCCATTTGTAATGGACTCATATTGGAGAATGAACCAAACTATTCATCAGACTGGACTGGGCCTGGTCCATTTGTAATGTACTCATATTGGACCAGTCTAGAATGAATCCAACTATTCATCAGACTGGATTGGGCTTGGTCATTTGTAATGGACTCATTAAACCAGATCGGATTTGATCAATATCCGGTACATTGACAGCCCTACTATGAAAGACCCAGAACCGAAGACCAATTAGTTATTCGGGACAATTGGGCTGCGCAATTATACCTGATTATATTTGGCTATGATAATTATCAATATTATTATAATAATAACAATTTAGAATTTTATTTTATTAATATAAACTTGATAAAAAAAGAAACTAAAAGATAGAATATGTATTTTTAATCATAATTATCTTATGTATTGTTTATCAAACCTACTCGTTTAATTTAGATATAAATATAACAAAGATACAAAAAAAAAAAAAAACTAAAAAAATCTCTATAATTAATATTATTATGTAATTGGCTTCGGGTCTGAAACTCTGAATTGGTTCGGAATAGCAACAACCGATCCCAACCCAATTATACTAATTGATTAATTGGGACAAAAATCTCATGAGAACCAGAACAAAGATAATCGGTTCGATCGGTTCGGTTCAGTTAGGTAGACCCGACCCATTGACAGCCCTGCTGCCAGTACCATGTCGAATTTTTCTTCTGTTTTATTATTATTATTTTTAATCTCAGCAGAGAAAAAGGAGAGTAGCATGTGGATTGCGGAGGGATGATTCCAAGCTTAAAGGCCTTAAACCATTGAAATGTCACTTTTGAGTTCGGTCACATTTACCATTTTCTTACGTCTTCTTCCTGGGAATCATCTTCTCAGAAACAAAACCAAGAAAATATCATCTCTTTGGTACCGAAGAAGATGACAGTATGAGCATCGGAAACTCCCTCCACCCATTCTCAAGGGAGATTTTCGAAACACTCGTTCATCTCAACTCTGAGAAGAAACTCTCAATATCATGCTGTAGTCCTTTAAATGCACACGCAGAAGCAAGATTCGGTCTCCAACCTCATAAATTAATGCTCTTAAACGATAGGATAAGCTGTCCTTCACCCATTCCAGAACAGCTAGCCCTTGCCTTTACGGCTTTGGTGATTCTGGAATCCAGTAGATTAGGCACTTGGCAAGAGCTGCATCCAAGTTCCATTAATACTACAACACAGTCATCAGTAAATTTCTCTTGAGGTGATGCCTATAAAATATCGTGGTTTCCTGCTGGAGTGACTGGTCTTGACTAATTTGCTCTCTCCGGCCTCTGAGATTCTTGTGCTTCTGCATTTTGAAGATCTCCGGTTGCTTCGCAAAGATGACTTCCGGTGGTGATGTCACCGTTAGTCCTGGAAATGTTCCGGTATATCATAAGAACAATTTGGAGGTGATTGACAGAAGGGTGAAAGTTGCGGAGGTGGTCTTAAGGTGTATGATATGTGGGTTAGGAATTCTGGCAGCTGTTCTTGTAGGATCTGATACACAGGTCAGGGAGATCTTCACCATTCGAAAGAAAGCAAAGTTCACAGACATGAAAGCTCTTGTGTAAGTTCTCTACACTCTCTCCCCTCTTGGAGCCCCGGTCAGAAAATGAAAAGTTGGGTAAAGAATTACTTATGCCAACAAATCTATACGTGGTGATTTACGTTTGCTCGATTAAAATTAAAACTGTCACAAATTTGTTAAAACTCCTATATGCTTTTTAGCAAAACTAAGAAGTTTTACTGTAAGTTGATTGTGATTTTTGTTCTGAACTGAACAGGTTTCTGTTGATAGCTAATGGGATAGCTGCTGGTTATTCCTTCATCCAGAGTCTGCGTTGTGTTGTGAGTGTAATTAGGGGCAGTTTACTCGTCAACAAGCCGTTGGCTTGGGCTATTTTCTCTGGTGATCAGGTAAGCCATCTTTGCCTTAGACTACGTCTTTCGTGCTTCACTCTCAGAGTTTAGACCAAGCACAACCTACGCCGGTGGCTGGTGCCTTACAAACGGCATACATGATATTGACACATGGAAGGTCTTGGGTCTCACCATATGTAGGGTAAGCAATAGAGAGGCAAAAGATTCGGCCCGCTCTGTTACCAGATTTTGACCACATAAAGGATCCATTCCTTTTAATGTATGAAAGACGAAACTACTTTGACTGTTCTGGGAGCCTGCGGTGAATGACACCGTGTGGGTAAAACAATATTTACATTCAATATTTTTTAGTTGAAAAGACAAATGTGGACTGTATTATCATTAATTAAAAATACAGTTTGGCAAGTTTTTTTTAAAAGATTTTTAGAAGATTTAATAGATAAAAGATAATACCAATTTTTGTATCAAAATCTATAGCATCTTTTTGGAATTGTGGCTTTCAATGATTAGATCTTTTTCTAACCAAACGATAAAATACCAAAATGCAAATTGTCGGGCTTTTAAAAAATGATAATCCGCACAAAAAGATACACCAAACGGGGCTTAAGGTGTCATGTGCAGCAGCTCCCAAAACAGTCTACCTGTTTTTTTTTCAAACAGCAAAGTAATTTCATGATGCAAATTTTGCATTCTTCACTCTTGAATCTATCAAGGTCCTGTTTGCTTTTCGAGAAGTTATTTATTTAGGTAAATGCACTTAAGGCTCAGTTTGGAAGGAGTATAAATGCAAATGTGTAGAGTGCAAAACCTTTTATTTTGTATGCATTTGTGTTGTACATATTTGAATTTGTACTCTTTTCAAACTGAGGCTAAGTGTTTTCTTGTAGTAGTATTTATCCATATTCTTTTATTTCCCAGAAAAATAAGACAATGATCATTTTAGCCATAAAAAAACAATTATTAAAAGGGATAATTTTGTCCCATGCAAGTGATGACAATTTTCTCCTAGTTGAAAAGGTTATTTATCCACGTGGGATACCCAAAGAAAATAAAATTTTCATGAATCCCACATAAATATTAAAAAAAAAAAGTTATGGGTATCTTGGTCAATGGAAATAAAAATTCCATTGATCAACTTTTCATTCTCTAAAAATCAAAAAAAGAAAAAAGAAAAAAAAAAACAGGCCCCAAGAATATATTCCTGACCAGTTTAAGCTTAACTTAAGCCAAACCCTAAGATGTGGGCCTAAGGCTTGAGTCTAAATTGAGCCCAAGGTCAAGCCCAATTTGCCTATTTGCCCATATCAGACCTAGCCCAAACTGAAATTTGGGTTGGGCTGAAAGCCTATGTCGGGCTTAACCGCTTAAGTTGGTTAAACGGGCTCAAGTGGAGCTTATTAGATATGACTTATGAGACAATAAAATTTCTATGATGCACGCAACATGGCTTGTGGTTCGGTGGCACCAAATCCGATGGGTGATGGAAGGGTCTAACCTTCAAATTCTGATAAAGGAACGATAACTGCTAATGTGGCAGGTGATGGCTTATGTGTTGATGGCTGCGTTTGCAGCGGCGGCACAATCGTCGGTGATAGCTGAAATGGGGCAACCGGAGTGGCAGTGGATGAAGGTGTGCAATCTCTATGAAAAGTTCTGCACCCAAGCAGGGGAAGGAATGGTGATTGCGCTTGTGGTTAGCCTTAGCATGATAACACTCTCTTTTATATCCGCCTTCAACCTCTTCCGCTTGTATGGAGAAACTGAAGCTCAAAACAGAGGAGGATGGTAGCTAGGTCGGTGTGGTTGCGCATTTGCATTTTTCAAGTGGGTTCTGTCTTCTATGTGAGTTGTCATCTTATTTTCTGTTTGAATGTAATACTAATGTTTATAATTAATAAACGAAAGCAAAGAGTTCAAGACAAAAGGTTGGAGCCCTTTTAATCCATGAACGATTCAAGAAGAGTAGGGTCACTCGCTGGAAAGTGGAAACCCTTTTACCACCTGGCTTGGTCATTGGACCGGTTAAGGCTGGGACTGGTATCTCAGGTCTCAACGTCAAAACCTCATTGTAGCGTCTGGTTTTTCTGTCGATCAAATTTAGAGGGTGTTTGGTTCCGTGTATATTTATTGAATAAACGTTTTGTATTTGTGTGGTTGTAAAATCAAGAAAAGCAATTAATGAGGGCATTTATGATACATAGGCGTCATTAGCCATCACATCAACAAAGTTTCAATAAATGCTTACCCATTTTATGAAGCTTCCTGAAACGAGGCGCACATAAATCAATGTCGGCAAAAGTAAATATTGATACGTACGAATGCAATTAATGAGGCATTTGCTGATGGGGCACTTATGTGGCAACATTTATTCAATAAACGTAAACGGAACCAAACACATACCTAATTTAAGCCATATTGAATTGATTCATGTTTGTGTTTGTTGAGCAGAGTGCGGAGAGCTGTTTACGGGTCAGGCTGGGTAATGTCATTTTATAAATAGAAAATCATCAGGTCTAAGCCCGAATTCGACTTGACCATCAAGCCTAAATTTTGAACCCGAGTCCAACCCTATATAAAACATGAAGTCTGATTTTGAAAGGTATTTTATAATTTATAATACATTAATTAAATATTATATATTATATATCATTCTATATAATATATATTATATATTATTAACATATATGTTATATTTTATTATATATAATATTATCGGATCGGGCTTCTAGCCCAAGGTCTTGAGCCAGACTAGTTGGAAAATAATTGTGTCAACACTAATTTCATGTATAAATCCAAATACAAAAAAAATAAGACAAATTCAAATAAATTGATTTTTTATATATTTAAAACGAATGGGATATAAACTCTTTGGATTTAAGTTCTCTTACAAAAAAGATAGAACCTCTATTTCTCTCTTGATGGTTCTTCTTACAACTTGAGGATTTGGATTTAAGTTACAAACGAAGGTTAGATGACATGCTCTCATACTTCATACAATGATGGAGATTGTTTTCTTCAATTGGGCTTTGAAAGCTTGATGAAAAGAAGGATTGTGTAAGAACTCCGACAATATTGTAGCTTTGCTCTTCAAAAAGTCATGGTCCTTGTGGATGTGTTTCCTTCTTTTCTTAGAGCATTCTAACTTAGGGTCTATTCATTTGCTCTAAAATCTGATATCTAAAAGTGCAATAATTACGTTAAGTGGTATATTGTTATTAATAAACTTTTCTTTCCTCTAAATTTTGAATGATGAGAATGTTGTTTTGAATTCTAAATTCTGAAAATTATCAAATATCTATTTTGACCCCACATATGAGAGTTTTTGTTTGTCTTTTTGAGAGTATCATTGAAAAACAAAAAGTTGTATGAATGTACTTTAAGAAATAAGAGATAAGAGGAAACAAACAACCATTTTTCTCTTAAAGTTAAAAGATTGATCGTAAGTGATAAGGGTTAAGAGGAAACGATCTGGCTCTTAGTTTCTTGTTGACTCCCAATTTAAAAGTCCCCTCCCTCTTGATGGGGACCCCTATTTAAAAGTCTCTTGATCTCATCTCTTAGCCTCTTCAATTAAAGATTTGATTAACTCTTCTTACCCTTTTTAGAGAGTGAAAGCTTGTAACTATTGTCATTATTGGAGAGAATAATTTATCATCCATTATTCTCTCTTTTCAATCATTGACTAGTTTTCATATATGGGAATATATACTTTGATTAACTAGAGATTTGATTGGCTCTAGTTACCTTTCATAAAGAAGAGGGCTGATAATTTACAATTTATAAAGATAATGATTTTTAATCAATTATTCTCTCTTTAATTATTAACTAGATTTTCATCTTTAGGACTTGAGATGGATTCTAATTGGATTATTTCCATAAACCAATAAGATTTGTAATTCACATCTGAATTTAAACTTGACTTCGTAGTAGTCTCACATGGACCATTCTTTTGTGCTAATAGATTTATAACAGCAAAGCCCAAATATTAAGGCCCATGCACATATATTTGAGAGTATGAAGTATGGTTCAAATAGAAGGAACCATACTAAGGTCGAGCGAATTTAAGTTTATAAGGGGTAGGGCCCACTTGGGAGCCCATGAAAATTTTAATGTCTTCAAATCGCTTACCCGTTTTGGAAGGACTAGATTTTAGCTGCTTCTAAGCTTTTAAGCGTTTTGGAAAATGCTTGAAGAGTTCGAGTTGAATCAGTTGATGTCTAAAAGACCGCCCAAATTCCCAATTTTTAGTAATAATGCTTCAAAATAACAAGGATGAGGAAATCCATACTCTTTTTGAGAGAGAGAATCATAAAAAAAAAAACAGTATATAGAGTGGGAACCCATACTTTTGATAAACATACATCCAAATCAATCTAATTATTTGATACATATAAATTTTATATTTATATAGAGATAAGCATGCCACTTGAGTATTGACGTATTGGATGGATCCATATCCGATCCAAATATAATTAGATCAATTTCTGATTAGTGTAATTGGATTGAATTCAAACAGGACCATATAAGCCGTATGTCAAATTGTTATCATATGTGAACAAGTAATTGTCTTGGTTACTGACTTTGAAACCTCTATGGAACTGGATCATGACTCTTGCTCAATCATGCATGATATGCCGCATCAGAACTAGAGGTATCAGTGGGTCAGGTTAATTGGTAACTCCACACCAGTTTGGATTGGGCCATCCTTAATTGAGTTTCAGTTGATGCTAATCTTTCTCAAACCCAACCCATTGGCATGCATTGAAAACGTGCAAATATAGCGTAGAGGTGTAATGTGGGTTGGGCCGTATCCGCCCACATTTTCGTGCCACCCGCCCGGCATGGCCCATGGCCTATCGACCTTGGGCTTGACTAGGTTGAGGTGGCCTGTTTCATTTTTTTTTTCACTACGAAAAAAATCAAAAATTCAAAAATTTATATAAAATGATGAAAGTTTAAGGAAAATTTGAAAAAATCAATGATTGAGAAAAGTATGATCTTAAAATTTTATTCCATATGAATAATCAATTCATATAATAAAAATAAAAAATGATTAAATAAAATTGAAAAAATATAATGAAATGATTAAACAATGTGCCGAATTGGGGGCCATGCCGGCACGAGCCCAAACAAGCTGGCACCACCCACGGGCCAAAATCCCTCAGGCTAGCCCTGCCCCAGGAGTCATGTTGTGCTTGACACAGCCTGTCACTATATCCAGCAGGTCGTGCCGGCCTGCAAGCAACCTAGCCCGTTTTATACCTCTAAATATAGCCTTCTCTAAGAATTGTGGTAATGTTGATAGGAGCATATTAATTTGTTCGAGTTAGGATCAATCCAAATTCATGTTGAACTGGATTTATTGATATATCTAAGGGCCTGTTTGGTTCATGAGAATAGAGGTATAGAATTTTAACCGAAATGGCCCATTCTGATTTCAATCATTTGGTTGGGTAGAATGGAACTTTATTTCCTATTTCTGGTGGAATGGCATTCCCCATTTGAGGGAATGGCCAATCCCTTCTCTTCGTGAGTGAGATCTCATTTCTAGTTAATTTCAATTCCTGTCTAAACCAAATAGACTTAGGGATAGACCATTCTAATTTTGATTTCAATGGATTTTGATTCCAATTTGGATTGTGAATCAAATGGATAACTCTTTTTAATTTTTTTTTTTGGGGGGGGGGGATCATTTACTAGTGGTGAGACCTCACATCCCTAATTTTGAGAAATCAACTCTCATCTCATCTCATTGTTTCACCCAAAACAAAGAGGAGAAAAATAAAAATCTTAAGCAATATTCTTATTTTATCATTTGGGTCCTGCCAATCAAACAGACCGTAAGACACCGCCTATGGTTTTACATGAATACTATTTGGCATTTGATGGATTTGAATCTGGGTATGAAATCTCAAAATTTTGCTTTTTCAAAGGTCGGGTTTCATTTTTCTGGTAATGCAATAACATTTGAACCATTCTTCTATAAAGTAATAGAGATCTGATATGGTAAGACCAAAATGTTCCATTCTAGGGGAAGGGAGCACATATATATAAGGTTAAAAATATGAGTATTGTATGCATTCTAGGTTTGACCAGGTTGTTATGTAAAAAAAAAAAAAGAATTACGTCAAAATCTGTAATTTTTAAATCTAATAGAATGAACTAACAAATGAGTGTTTGCCTGGTATTTTGATTTCCTTTCTAAGGTTATTGATATAGGCCCATGTAGCAAGGCCTATGATGGCGCCACATGGCATTGGCCGGATGCAATCCGGAGTCCATTGCCAATTACCTCCAATCACTCCCAAGTAGACCTGTTCATGGGCCGGGTGGCCTGACGGACCGGCTCGGCCCCCGAACGGGCTTGAACAGGTTTTTTGGCCCGCGGGCTTAACCTTGGGCTAAAAAGCCCGGCCTGCATAAAATTCGAGGCGAGCTC